TTTTCCAGGACAGTGGCTCTGTACCCACTGGGACCAGGCAATTGTTTTTATTGACTTGAGCAGCAGAAGACCAGGCCTTCTACAAGACTAAGTGAAACACAGGTCACTTGTTTACTGCAGGGATTTGTGGCATCAGCTTTCACTAATTGCTTGGAAAGTTCTGGCTTCAGAATTTGGTGCATTTGGAAGAAGGTGAGTGGGAAACCTGCTATAGCATCATTTTGAAATGACACTTTGACCTTGTTTTCAAGTCCTTGCAAAGCAGAGCCCACCTCCAGCTCATAGCTCTGCTCTTACTGATTACCATTTTAAGTCCTTCAGGCATTTTGCTGTGCCCAAAGGGCCGTATGCTTTTCAGAACAGAATAATCAGAATAATCTGACGTGACAGAGAGCTGCTAAACCGACTCTGTTCTCTCTGGGCTGTCAGGACAGGACAGAGCCCTGTGCTCGTGCTGGAGGGGACCCACGTGGATAAGTGGAGGGCTGACATTTTGTCCCAGTGGGACTACTTGTTCCAGTATGTGAGCAACACAGAAGTCAAACACTTGGCCTGAGGTGACTGATGCCTGTATTTTTCCTGGTCAGGGCTATGTGTCTGGGGAAGGACATGGCCCAATGAGGAGAAGGGCTTTGGGATTTACATGAGCTCTTCTGCCCTAATTATCTGTCACTGTAGAGAGACAGGACAGTAGGTGAGACGAATCCTCAATGAGATCCTCTTGCCTGTTTTTCTATTTCTTGACCATGAAGAAACCCCTATAAATCTAACTTGTTCTTTCTGAGCTGAAGATGAAGGGCCTCACTTATAAGGTAAGAAGAAATTGCCAGTGTGATCTGCTGCTCCTTTATCATTTTACCCCAATTATATGAAATATGCGGTGTGACCATCTAGCTGCAGTATCACTCCAGAAATGTGGCAACAGGAAGAAAAGGATATATAAATACTTTTTAAAGACAGCAGCTTACCTATTAGATTTTTCCTACAGAAAAAAAAAAAAAAAGAGTCAAAATGGCTTCTGTGAGTCCAGTTTGTTATGTCTCCAGGCACAGCTAATTATCCTGACTTAACCCAGTTCTGAGTTCTTCCCAAGGGTTTTGGGGCTATTTCATCTGTTTTGCTTTACAAATGGCCTTTATTTTACTTTCCTCCTACATGTTCTGTATAATCTTTTTGGTCCCTGCCTCAGTGAGGAGACGGGAGCTGGTGTGACAGTGGTATCCCAAGGCTGTCTTGGGGTGATTTTGGKATRWTACTCTATTYCGKATCRTCTGCTCCATGCCCAGGAAYGGGTCCTGTAGCTTTAAGGCGRGTCTGGGAYGGGGYCAGGGGAGCTCTGGCATGGGCTTTGTTCAAGCCCTCACTCTCTGTGTGCTGGTCTCACTCTGCAGGCCTTAGCTAGCTTGGATTTTGTTAGCTTGTGCAGGAAGATTTTCCCTGAACTGGCAATTCTTTGGCAGCTTCTGTTGATTTTTCTTGGTCTTTTGGGCTTGCTTTTTGGTCCAAAATCAGACCATCTCGGGGAGCCCRACCTGAGGGGAGCCATAGGAGTAAATCTGCCTGGCCCCAGGCTTCAGGAAAAGCCAAACCAATGAGAGAAAGGACTCTAACTCCACCAGCTTCATCTGCTGTGGGGAAGAGACCAACATCAGAGGTTCACCAGGTTCCCATCTGTGTTTTTTCCTTCCCTGAGCTGTGTGGACTTTGTTCCTCCCCTCAGACAAAGCTGTCTGCCATTCTGTTTTTCCCTAGCACGTGGCCGGCAGTTTTTCCCCTTTGCCTGGCATTTTGAGTTCTTTTGTTTTTTTATGTTCCAACTTGTTTGCATCTGTGAATGTTTCTGTCAACGGACTCCTCTGGGAGATTGTAGCACTGATCACCCTCATGGACCCTGGTGTGAGTTAAATTTGTCTCCATAAAACAGGCTGAGAAGTGGGTGAGAGTCAACCCCATGCCAGTCCTGTCTTCTGCACTGTCTGAGGGCAGATGGATAAAACCAGAGAAAGTAGGGAGTGTTAATTCCTTGGAAGAGTGCCTCAACCTCCAACAACTTCCAGCTCAGCGTTTTGCAGACCTAGACCTGTGATTGTACATCCTGGTGGATTTTCCTTCCATTATTTTGCCCCTTAATTTCCTGCTTTGAAGTCATATAAACTCTCAGCATCCAGCATGTCCTGCAGTTGGGAGTCTTGCTCCATAGGTGCACCTTTTCTGGAATATTAACTTTTGCTCTTTTTGAACCTACCACCCCCTGGTCATTGTTTAATCCCTTGCAGTTCTTGTGTCAGAAATGGTGAATACTTGTATTCTATGACACTGATACATTTATAGGCCCCTGCCAGCTACCTCTTCCACAGAGCAATGGATCTGCTTCCTTCTCTTCACACAGAAGTTGCTCCACACTTTTAAGCAGCCTTTTGGCTCTCCTCCAAGCCTTTTCCTGGCTTTGCAATAGCTTCTGTGACAGGAAGRGAGAAACTCCAATTAGATTTCAAGACACGAGTGCAATATTGTTTTAGACACAGGTGTAGTAACATAGCCTGCTCTCGCTTTCTTTCCAAATTATTTTYGTGTGACGGTTATATACTTCTAAGAGACTAAAATCAATGCAGGTATTAATTAAATTTTTTAGTCAGGCTCATCCAATTAATCATCAGGACTTTGGAGCCCTGGCTTAACGGGATATCAGCGGTTCACAAGCTGGCTCTAGTCACTAGCAAGCACCAGCTGAATATACCTGGGGATTACAGTACCACACACAGCATGGTGCACAGGGAGGGGCTGAGCAGAGCAGYGATTTTCTTGCCAGATGTTGCCGGTGCACAGCTGTGAACACGGCTGTGTTGTTGCCGTGGTGAGGGATTAGGACACGGGATTGCAAAGTGGAGCACCACAGCAGAGGTGCTGCTGCAAAGCTGTGCTTCTGGCTGGGCCACACAAACTCTCAGATGGCTCTGTGTCTGATGCACTCAGTCTTGGACCTCAGACCTGGGAGCTGGGACACCTCCATCTTGCCCTCATTCTCTGTCACTCAGATGTATTTCTCTGCCTGGACTGCTCTGTGGTGGGTCACCCACTGGTTGTGATTTCGCTGCATGCCTGCTGGTCCTGGAGCTCTTCCCGCAGAGCATTGGGATGAGAAGGTGATGAGAGTTTAGGGATTTGTTATGTGCTGGTAACAACCAAGTCTGACACACTATATTGACAAAGGATAACTTCTTTCTCTCCTTTCTCATCAGGAGCTTTGCTCAGTGCTTCCTGTTTCTCCTGTGCTCAGCCAGGGCAGAAGTTGCTTTTYCTGCTCCTCCAGCCCCTCAGCAAGAGTGGATGTACATCTGATTCACCATGGGCAAGATGGACAACACCTCCGTGGAGCTGAACTCTCCCTCCGAGGTGAAGCAGGCAGCCCTGGAGGAGCTGGACCCCATCAACCCTGAGACTGTGAGCACCAAGAAGAAGAAGAAGAAGGARATCCCAGACAGAGGTTCCTGGAAGGGGAAATTTGACTTCCTCCTGTCCTGTGTGGGCTATGCYATTGGTCTGGGCAATGTCTGGCGCTTCCCTTATCTCTGCGGCAAGAATGGAGGAGGTGAGAGAAATGCAAGTGAGCAGCCTTGTCCCCAAGCAGGTTTTGGTTCATGTGGGTCTGGGCAAATGGGTGGTCCTTTAGCTGAGAGCTCTCCCACATGATGGGAGTTTTAAAGTTGTCAGAGTTTTCATGCTCTGTGGGGTTTACTGGTAAGTGTAGACTGGGAAGAAGCAGTCCAAAGAAATAAAACAAGAAGTTTGAGTTCTGTCAAACTTCTGCAGTCTAAATCTGCCGGGCTACAAAAAGAGGCATATGCAATCTCATTTATTTACAGGGAGGGCCATGCACATAGGCACCCACCTGCATGCTGTGGCACCTCCACAGAAACCAGTTTGCATCTGTTAAAAGTAGGGTTCTCCTAAGTCTAGTGTATTCTCAAGAGAATTCTCCCTGCCCATCTACACATTTACTGCACATCTTGGGCCAAGACACAAAACACACTTCTGTGCCTCAGCTTCCCTCTAACATGGCACTATTTCTTTAGCCTTGTCAGGGAGATGCTTTTGTGGAAGGAAATATGGACTGGTGTCAGTGGAGCAGAAGCTCTTTCTTCTCCATGCCCAGCTCTCCCATTGTTTGTGCCTGTTACTAAAATAGCCTTCCTTCCCTGCCTTGAAGAGCTGCTCACCTTGAACCACTTTACAGACTTTCCACAACAGTCCAAATCTCTTTCCCTCACCTTTAAGGCTGTATATATAATTTTAATATTGCTTGTTAGTCTTCCCACCTTGCTCTTTGCTTTCCTCTTAACTCTTCCCTCCCTGGAGTCCCTGTCCCAAGAGCCATATTAATTCATGCTGCTCTGAGGGTCTCTTCTCATGCTGCTTCTCCACGTCTTTTTTATTTTCCTTTTGCCTTTGGCTCTCATAATGTCTCATATCACCAACCCACTTCTGCTGTCTGTGTTGCAGGCGGTGTAGGATGCTCTTCTCTTCYAACTTGGGAAAAGAGGAGAAGGGTCCTGCTCCTTGAAGCGATCTGTCCATTTAACTTCATGGCAGTTAAGGGTATCTTGGCCCTGTTTCTAAAGCATGTGGAGTAAGTGCCAGCAGGAGACCAGAAAGTTAGCAATTTTGACAAGAAAATGTCTGAGTATGCTGTTTTCATAGAATTGTAGAATCATAGGATCATCTGGGTTGGAAGGCACCTTGAACATCATTGTGTTCCAAACCCTCTGCCAAGGGCAGGGACACCTTCCACTAGCCCAGGTTGCTCAAAGCCACATCCAACCCAACCCTGAACACTTTCAGGAATGGAGCATGCTCAGCTTCTTTGGGTTTTGTGGGGAGGTTCAAATGTGCAGGTTTATGGGATCACCCATAAACCAGGCACGGGGAGCCTGTGCCACCAATGCCAGAGCCACGGTGTGGGTTTGTCAACTGCGTCAAGCCACACTYTGACTGCTAGCTCTCCTCACAGAGTATTTCTGCCGGGGCTTGGTCCCAGCACTGGTTGTTAGCCAGCATCTGCCCTGCGGTTGTTGCGTCATCTCAAGTCTCACACCCATGACTGTCTCCTCACACATAAAGATGGAGATGACAATGCCTATAATTAGATGAGGGTGTTGTGAAGCTAAAATCGATCCTACAAAGTCAGCTGAGAAGCTAGGACAGAGGGTGCTGTGGAGGTGTGAAGCACTATTATTAGCATTAACAATGGCACGCAGGGTGATGTCTGCCCTGGCAGCTGCAGGCACACGGAGGGATCAGCCGGCTGTCAGCAGGTACGCCAGGMGGATAAAATGCGGGAGACTGCGGGAGGGAATTGGCTCCTGCTTGCTCCCAAACACCATGCCTTCCCTGCCGCTTCGTGCAGTTCGTGGCAGCCTGGATGGCTCCTTCCTCTCACCCTGTTCGCAGGCACGACCGCTCCCGCAGCCGGCAGTGATGAGCGGCGGGTGGAGGCTGCCGCTGCTGGGGCCGGGCGGCAGAGCTGACGCACGAAAGCGTCACCGGGAGCGGGAGCGGAGCAGCGAGGCAGGGGCGCACGGCAGCTCATTCGCAATCGGGTGGGCACCGCCTCGGCTCTGCCCCGACGGAGGCGCCTGCGGAGCACAGCAGACTGTGGGTGGAACTCTAATTTTAGCGTCCCGCATGTGCGCTGCTCAGAGCACGGTCGTGTGGGCTGCTTCCATTACGCACAGGCAAATTGAACTGAATGGAAATATTGTCGTCTCACTTACCGCTGTCACATTGCATCGGCTCATGGCTGGTTTGCTCGGCGCAGGGAGCCCAGGGCACGGCAACCCAGCGCTCGGCCCATCCGCTGCGGGGAGCAGGCTTCACCCGAAGTGATGTCTGGGCTCCCTGCGGACCCTGCACATACCTGGATGTGCCCAGCTGTGCCCATGGCTCCAGTCTCCACACCGATGTCTGACCTCATACAGTCCCTTTGATCTCAACAGGATTGTACCGGATTCCAAATTCACTCTAAATGTGGCTCGGTACCTGCTAAAAATTGCCTGTGAGGTGCTGGGCTTGAATAACTTGAAAGAAAAACAACTCTTTAARTAAGCATCATGCACTCCTCATTTGCGCACTGAGACTCAAGGCAACAGTGTGTAACAACTTGCAATGCTCAACTTTTGATTCGTGGGCAGTGTTCCCTATTTTAATGATTGTTATTCTCTGCTGTATGACATCGGGAACAGGCAGATTTGGGGCTGCACAGTGAGCACCAGGTGCTGTTGATCCTTCCTTGCCTCCAAGGGTCAGTGTTCTGAGCAGGCAGAGCAGGACCAGCATCATCACCCCTTTGACACTAATGGATTTGGGACTTTCACAAGGTCACACACAACCGTATTTTGCACAGGCCTACAAAATTTAGGCGCAAATTTCAAAACTAATTTCCCACTTGGCTGTACAGGATCTGGGAGTATTATCCATGCTTGCTTGGGGACCCCGCCCTCCAGAATCACAATGTGATGGCCTCCAGCCCTCAGCTCAAGGAGGTGGTCTAATTTGTAGATTTCCATTGTTCTTGTGGAGAACCTTTGTCAAGTCAAGGTAAAAKACTTGTGTCCAAAGGTTTGTTTTCTTTTTTTCCCCCAACAGTCTAGTAAGATCTTTCACCTACAAACCTTCCTGACCTGCTGTGGATGAGAAATGCMGGATCATCAGGGCTTCAGCCAAATTTCGTGAATCGCTTGCATAGAAGCGAGGAAGAGACTTGCACTGCTGCTAAGCTCAGCCTCCAAACTCCACAGCAGCAGGGTGGCAGCATCCATATCCTTGGAGCAGACACTGGCTTCCTGCASAGCTCCCAGGGGGCTGGACCCTGCAGGCTGTGGTGTCTAGCGAGCACACAGGGGAGTATGCTGAGCGGGCACAGCGATGCCCAAAGCTGTTCACTGCTCTTTGCCAGGCTGCTGGTGAAGCCAAGAGCCTGTGCTTCCATGCCAGCTTGTGATTCATGGTCACTGGGCTGCTGGCACAGGGAGTGTTTCCTCCCCACCACCCACTGCCAGCTCCTCTTGCCTGCTGCCTCCCACGGACTCCCATGCCGGGTGCTGGCACCCGCCTCTCCCAGCTGGGTTCAGCTCCCTGCTTGGCAGGCAGATGTCTCCAGCTGGGTGTCCCCTGAGCCAGCATCCCTGGCTCTGCCTGGCTGCTTCCCTGGCCTTGGAGAGCAGCTGCTGGAGCCTGGCTCTGCTGGGTGCAAGCTAGGCTGCAGYTCTCCAGAGTGGCTTTGCTTGCGGGCTGCATGTTTGCTTTTCCATGAATATTTGGAGAAGACTGAGACTGACAGCTCAACCCTACAGTTAGTGCAAGAATCAGTGCTGTCCAGAACATGGACAGCTGCTTCTGGGCCAACTGAGTGTCCCCTCTCTGTCCCCAGCCACCATCTTTTTCAAGAGTTCATCTTCCTCAGAAACGATGCCATGCTCAGGCATGTGCATGARAGCTTTTTCTCGGGACCTAGAACTCAGGATGATCTGAACATCACCCAGCAAGGCTCTCCTACTGTAACTGCTCTTCTAAAAACTGGATACCAGTAATATCTCTATTGAATGGCTGTACTACCTCATTTCTAGTGATGAGATGATTTCCATASGGCCATGGAGAAGATAGTATTTTCACCAGGAATTTTAAGGCTAAAACCGAAAACACAGGTGGGGTGGTATGTAGCACTGTTACAAAAGCCAGTACAATCTTGGTCATGGTTTTCTTAAAAGCTGAAATAGCTATAAACAAAGAAAGCAGTGCCAATAGTAGATATTTCTGTGCACTATTGCCTCAAGAAGAAGAATTGAAAGCTTCTGCAGCTTCTACAGAAAGCATCAGCAAGAAGTTACCAATGTCAGTGTCCAAGCTTTTGGGTTTGTTGTCAGATTGGGTTTAGCATCGTCTAAATAGCTAGGAACAAAGAGAACCTGGCATTGCATAGCTAGTGATGCCAGTGTATATGGATACATGGTACATATACACCCATAGTGATAAGGGGAAGACAGTGATGACTTCAGTGGGAGAATCACCAAATACASCAACTCCAGCTGCAAACTGTCACCTCTGAGAGAAGCTACTCCTTATCACACAGGKGCTGCAGAGCAAGAAACTGCAGCTGGAGGCATTTCCTTCTTGTTCAAAGGGRGAGCTGCCTGATAACATTTCTTCTTTCAGGGGCTTTCCTCATCCCCTATTTCCTGACACTGGTGTTTGCTGGGATTCCACTCTTCCTGCTGGAAACTGCTCTGGGCCAGTATACCTCTGTTGGTGGACTGGGAGTCTGGAGATTAGCACCCATGTTCAAAGGTACAGTGCTCTATGTGGTTTGTGACAACAATGGCATTTAGCTACAGGCAAAACCCCATTTATGGTTTGAAATAAAATCAGCAAACCCCTGGGGCCTGGGATGGGGTGGCAGGTGAGGGGAGGTTTTTTCCCTCTCTGTGTTTATCAAGCTGTTTTTGACCCTGATGTCTGCAGTTACTAACGTCATTGTGCTCTGTTCAAGCAGTTTTGGGTGGTGACAAGGAACTTTATGAGCAATATGGACTTTGATGGAGGGGTTCTGGTTGCAGAAGACCCTTTGTTGCCCCAGGCCTTCCTTACTTTAATTGCATGGGAGTGCTGTAAACAGGGGACACAAATCAGTTGCTGTGTTTGGAGTAACTGTTTTCTAGAAGTCAATGGTGATGTACAAGTGCCTTGGATGTGGGAAAGTGTGATTCTGCCAGGGTGAAGTCACTTCTGAAGTGACAAGATCCTGTTTTCGTGGAGCTCTGTCCATAAAGTACCTGTAGCACACTGAAAGGTAGCACTGCTCCCCAGTGTGAAATGGATGTGTGAGAGACGTGAGAGAACACACCTCCCTTGCTGACCAGCTCACAAAATTATAGCACACTCTGTGTTGATGACCTGATTCCCTTTTTCTGGTTTTCCAAAAAAAACTTGCTCTGGTGCCTGTGAACTCTCTTGGGTACTGGAGACTGAACTGCCTTGGATATTGATGCTGCTCTCTGCGTTCATTCACAGGAGTGGGACTGGCAGCTATGGTTCTCTCTTTCTGGCTGAACATCTACTACATTGTCATCATTGCCTGGGCTCTCTACTATCTCTTCAACTCTTTCACTGCCGTGAGTTATGGGCATGTSTGCAGCATGGCATTGATTGTGGTCTGGGTCCTCACTCCTGCTTTATGGGAGWGAGTTGTTTATACCCCAAAGCAGGCACTAGCTGCTTGCAGTTCGTGCATAGAATCCTTTTCAACATCCTGCTGAACCCTTCCTGAAGAGGTTTATCAGCGCTGGAGGCAGTTTTGCAGAGCTGATGGGTACTGATGTTTTTCCTCTGGAGGGGATGGTTCCATCCCCTCTATGGGAACTGTTCCCTGCTCACAGTCTTTAAAACTCACCCTSTGTTTCTGTTCTATTTCTAAAGCTGTTGGAATCTAAGAGCTGCACATTTCTAGAACAGGTTTTGTCAGRTTTTGTCACATCATGGTCTCATTTTTCAGGGCTTAGTTCTGATCTTAATTAGTTCTTATTCACTCCTCTCTTGATAAATGACATCCAAGGGATTTTTCGCTGGAAAATGATTCAGAAAGCACCTAGACATCTGCTTGTGACTATCCTTTAGCCTGTGCTTTGATGTTATGGTTTATAGTGGGTTTCTCTTCCATAGCAGGGTCTTCTGCCATACAAAGTTAGAATCACAACCCATGTTAACTTCTTGGTAGCTGAATTATTTATTTCAGCCCAGAAACTGGTAAGAGTTTCCTTAATGTAACTGTCTGAGCAGCCTGCAGCCTTAAAGATATCAACCCCATGGTTCAAATGGGATCTTTTAAAATGTCATTTAGATATAACCCTGAAATACTGTTATGAATGCTGTACATCCAGTATTACTTTTTGTTTCAGCAAAAATGTCAAGTACCTATCAATAAACTTTTGCTGAATTATTGCATTTGACATTACCAACTGTGCTTCTACCACCAATACCACCTATCACTGTAGGTTCCTGGATCAAGAACAAAATTATTGGCTGTGCATGATTAGATGCACAGCCTCTGCACCCTCAGAGGACTCCCAAATGAACAAAGGTGTGCCCCAAAGGAACTCATCCCAACTACACCCTGGGTAGGATGCATCTTAGGATGAGGCTTTGGTCCATTCAGGTGTCACAGATCCAGCTGTGACAGTGCTTGGATGTGCACAGGYAGCTCCAGGTGTTTGACTTTTCTTTTACCAGAGATAATTCCAAATTCCCAAAAGTATCTATGATGCAAATGAAAAAGCTAGGCTAATGTTCCCTGTCCCTTCTAAATTTGACTAACGRTATTTTGAACTATAATAGGAGCCCAGCCTGCCTTCTGCAGTTGCTGTCCTCTGAAATTCAGAGGAAATGGAGCAGCAACAAACTGTCCCCCAGCCTGCCCCTCCCTGTGAGAGCTGTGCAGCATCTCTAACATGCAAACATAGAAAAGCCATTGTGCAGCACTGCTCTAGCCATTGCCTTTTCTACAGTTCAGTTCACAAGTCAGTGAAATCACTGGGTGGGTGTAGCAGCCCAGGGGGCCACCAGAATGTCACCCCCGTCCCTGCAATAGCCACTCTTCTGCCAAAATACCATGTTTGAAGGTATCATCTGCTGGAGAGAATTGATTTAGATGGAGCAGTGAAGGCAGCACTTAAAGGCACTGATGCCACAAGGCATGTAAAACACAAATAATATTTCTGAAGGAGTCTGTGTTCGTGGATGAATAGGGATGGATACAAACATCTTAAAGCTTTGTTGAGCTGGAGCCTCAGGTCTTATCTGCAGAGGGAAATCACCCAGAATAGCTGCTCTGCATTTATCTACGTGCRTTGTGTTTGGGAAAAGAGATAGCTGCACATGGAGACACATCCAAGCTGCTTTCCTTGGGCTGGCTCAGCTGTGGCCCCACACGGCCCGGGTGAGTTACCCTCATGCTTGCACAGCCCCTGACACTGCTGCTTCACTGCCTGCAGTGCCAGAGCTGATTGCATTGGGTCTGTGGTGTTGTGCTACTGTCACACTGATACCTAGACTGTAAACATCTCCCAGGAATCCCTTTGTGCTGCTTATAATTAGGGCAGTGGTCAGCATGAAACAGCTACTGAGCTCTAAATTTACTCTTGTGTTTGTGTTATAACAGTCTGTTCATGTAGACAATCCATTGACTCCATTCTCAGGGCCATGTTGCTTTTTAAGCATTGAAGTTGGTATAAATGAAAAATAAGAAATGAATCAGTGTTTATTCTTTGTGCATTAAATTCCAGCCAATTGTTGAGTGAAGGCAGCAAAAAGCTGTAATGGTTATAAATGGAATAAACCTTGATAGTATTTCAATTTGTACCTATTAATTATCAACTGTTAGTTGGAAATGGCTTTCTATCTGGGGAATTGCTAACATTTTATTGGAGCTACAGCATTGCCCTAATCACATAATGATATTTTTTCCTGGAGAATCCTTGTCACATTTTGTCATATTTTGGAAAATGATTCTGTGCTTTTGACTATAAGGACATGCCGATCCAGTGGAGTTGCCCATCCTCTTTGCAAAAAAAAAGAAAAAAAATAAATTAAGGGGTTTCAGTTTAAAAGAAGCCAAATTTCACTTGGGGGATATGACATGAATGATAACCCTGCTGTCCTTGTGCTGGTGCAGGACCTGCCGTGGCAGAACTGTGGGAACCCCTGGAACACCGACCGCTGCTTCTCCAACTACTCCCTGAACGACACCACCAACCTCACCAGCGCTGTCACCGAGTTCTGGGAGTACGTCCCCAGCCTGCCTACACCAGGTTTCTCCCCCTCCCCACGGTCATTGTACCTGCCCACCAGGGCTGTGGCTCTGCCTGTTGGCACTGTTCTTTGGACAGCTTTGGCAGGAGGTTTGGCGTTACAGCCGGCCTCTGGCCTTGGTGCTGCGCTGTGCAGACACAGGTCAGGTGGATGGACAGGCAAACAGCCTCTCYACCTCTCTTCTCCTTCCTTAATCCCATCATGATGAACCTCAGTTGTCTCTGGGGATTTGCGTGTTCTCATGCTTGTCTGCACTGGCTCTTCACCCTCCAGCCACCTCTGGGAGCTCCGAATCTCTCTGGCATGAATTGTGGGGCTTCCTCCTAACACAGCGTCTCCCACCCTTAGGAGGAACATGCACCAGATGTCCGGGGGCCTGGGGGAGCCTGGCACCATCCGCTGGCCCCTGGCTGGCACACTGGCCCTGGCCTGGCTGCTGGTATACTTCTCCATCTGGAAGGGTGTGGAGTGGACTGGCAAGGTACAGTGTGAGGGCTGGGTGTTTTGGTGCTGCCTCTCATTGCTGYGCTGTCAGAAAGTCCTCCTGATTCAATTTTATTTTAATGTCTRCAACTAAGGTTATAGTGTTTAGAGGCAAAGTCACAGTAGATACTATATAATTCCTGGCATTTACATTTTACGGCTGTAAAAATTGCTACTGTGTTTATGGTAATTTTCATTTTAAGTGTAGAGAATAGTTCTTCCCTGTAAGGTTGTGGGTGTGAGCGCAACTGTTTTTGGGAAGAGACATTTTCAGATACTACTAATATTTCCCACTTTAGGGCAGCCCTTTGAGAGAGCAGAGTCTCTTGTGGTCTCCCCCTTTTGACAATCAGTCTCTTAAATTGCTTCTGGTGGAAAAACATTCACCATCTCCTTTGAAAATTTCCCTGCTGCCCTTTCGATATTGGTAGGAGACCTTCAGATGAGAAGCCTGTTGTTATTCACTGTGCAGTGTTCCAGGCTAGCACAGCAGAAAGGTAATTGCTTAGTTTAGTGAAACAGTGATGCTGAGATCCTGGGATGTGTTATTTAGAGCACAGCATGGTGCAGTGGGACACTATTATGAAAGGAATAATCTAAAGAAGAGATCAGAAAGAAGCAATTCAGGGGTAGGGCACCTAAGCTGTTAATGTCCCCAGTGGCTCTCAAACAGGATTTAGCTACACAACCATAGCAAAGCCCTGGTGATTACTGGTGTGGGCCCTGTGATGAGGGATGGCACATATCTGTGAGATCCTGAAACAGTGCTGAAAAGAAAGCAGTGGAATCAAGACAACTCATTTTGCTTGATACACTGGTCTAGAAAAACACTAGCTTTAGCTCTGCAAAATAAGAGTGTGATGACTTAAGGGGATTATTTCTGTGGACTAAAATTATCCCTGTGCAATTCCCTTGTCTTTGGGTGTTTCATCCAGACTTTAGCATGCTACTTTTGTGATTAGTGTGTCCTTGCATATCATTGGCAGGGAGAAACCTCAAACAGCCAGAAATGTTACTGGCATGGGAATGGGAAACAGCAAATACAAAGAAATGCTGCCGAAAGTGGCTGTGCTTGGGAGCCTRTTACCCTTATGGAAGGACATGTGAGATGCAATGATGGCATGGAAGGTGCCTGGGCCCTGGTGGGCTGATGGCTTCTCTCCCATGGGGTCTTTTTCAGGTGGTGTACTTCTCAGCCACTTACCCCTACTTCATGCTTTTCATCCTCTTATTCCGGGGAGTCACGCTGCCAGGAGCCAAGGAGGGGATCCTCTTCTACCTCACGCCTGACTTCAGGAAGCTCTCTGACTCTGAGGTTTGTAGCCTAATGTGGAAAACTCTTACCTCCTGGTTGTCTCTGCATTAGGCTTCCCCAGGCACTTCCTGTGAATATTTTAAGCATTTAAAATAACCCCTTTTAAGCAGTCATGACCCTCAGAGGCTGAGACAAAGCTGAGGGACAGGTTGTTTATGGGAAGACATCCGTGCAGCAGCTCTGCTGTACTCAAGGAGTGTTATCCATGGGGTGGGAGAGTCAGAASTTATCCTGACAAAGGGAAACCCCTCCATGGGCTGGGAATGCCTTATTTCACTGACTGTCCTGGGATTGGTGATTTGGTCTTGTTCTGGTCCTAGAGAAAGGATGATATGGTGGTACTGGCATGGGGGCCTCAGAAGCAGCACAAATGCAGCAGCACACACAGCAGCAGTTTTTGGAAGTGCTTAAAGAATGAGTGGTGGCCAGTAAGATTGCCTGGGCAGWGGGAGCTCAGAGGGGACCCTAGACTCATGCAAAAGCAAATTTTTCAGGAGACACAAGACTGCCTTTTTCAGMAGCAGTGCTCCTGTGACTCCAGAGTCACCACTCACAAGCTTTCCAAGTTTTAAGACTTTAAGGCACTGGGACAAGCTGTCTTCCTCTGCAGCTGTAAACAGGATGCATGACCCTTCATCCATCCCAAGAARCAGCCTTCATCCACACATTTCAGAGGGCTGGGGATATATGTGTGATGCTGGGCCAGGCTGCACTTTGATGCACTCCACACATGGAAAGGATGCAGATCCGCTGCCTCCCAGTACATAAAGGGGCCTACAGGAAAAACCTGGTGATGGTCTTTAGACAAYRACATGGAGTGATAGGACAAGAGGCAATGGCATTAAACTGAAAGGTTTAGATTAGACGTTAATATGTTTAGATTAGATATTAGTAAGAAGCTCTTGACTTGGCCCCAGTGACAGTGTTCCCTCAGGTCCTGGCCACCCCACTGGGTTGTACATCCAGTCCCCTTGCTGGCCTTGCACTGAGCTGCTGCAGGACATGTAACTGCAGCATGGAGTCCCCTTCAGCTGCACTCCCTCCCTGGCTCCTTCTCTGCAGGTCTGGATGGATGCAGCCACTCARATCTTCTTCTCCTATGGCCTGGGGCTGGGCTCCCTCATCGCTCTGGGGAGTTACAACACTTTCCACAATAACGTCTACAGGTCAGTYGTTTTTTCCCATCCTCCTGTGCGAGTGCTCAGGGGTGGTGAGGGAGGGAGTTGTGCTGAGTCTGGGTGCCTGATCTCTGCTGTCCCCTTGCTGGCAACATCCAGCCTAGGGGACACACTCTGATCTCTGTAGAGGGGCTCCCTGCCTGCAGAACACTTAGTATGTCACCTAAGCTACCTGTCCTAGGCACAGGACCAGCTCTCAACTCTTTTGTTTACCCCACCTGCAAGTGGTTTCTTTTCTCTCTTYCTCTCTTCCAGAGACTCCATTATTGTCTGCTGTATAAACTCCACCACAAGCATATTTGCRGGATTTGTTATTTTCTCCATCATTGGCTTCATGTCACACATCACAAAGAAATCAGTGTCAGAGCTGGCCTCCTCAGGTAAGCAGAAACCCAGGTTCAAATGCAACAGCAACCTGTGAGAACAATTTGTAAGTGAGCATGGGATGCTCTTAGGTCTTCCCTAACTTGGTGTGCTGAAATTTTATTGTGCTGTAGTGAAATATTTAGGCCATTTGCTGTTTGAAACCTTCCTATGGAGAATAGATAATACCTAATACGTTCAGCAGACGTGATCAAAATTTGGAGTCTCTTTTTCATGCAAAAGCTTGAGACTGTGATCTCAAAATAATTTTTTAACCAAGATAGGACTGTGTCTTTCTGTGCAGACATATTTTGAAATTGCTGTCTTCCCAGAGAAAGCTTTTATCTCAAAAAACAACATTTTGTGACGGAAAAAAAAAGAAAATTGTAACCAGCTCTGAATATTAGTCTATTTTTCTAGCAAAGTGCTCCAGCTCCCTTTGGCTGCAATAATTTGATGACTTTCTTGCTTGCAGGACTTTTTTTCCCCAGTCATTTCTGTCTCCCCATCCTGCCCCTGTGTATTCCAGTGGGTTGGTATGTCATGGGCAAAGACTCAGGTGTTTTTAGCTCCCGTATGAAATCCCCACAATTCATGGCTATAATTGTTTTCTCTCTGTTTAACCATAGCCCTTAATTGAGACTTCTGATCAAATGCTTTGTAAACATGGGCTCATTGCTCTTTTCATTACTGCAGGCCCTGGACTGGCTTTCCTTGCCTACCCACAGGTTGTCACACAGTTACCCTTGTCYCCACTCTGGTCAATCCTCTTCTTCTCCATGCTGATGATGCTGGGTCTGGACAGTCAGGTGAGATAACCCAGGGACAAAGTGGAGGAAGATACAAAAATATCTTCAGGTACAATGGTGGTGTCCCATTCTGCACTTGGGACAGTGCTGAGCAGAGTGGTATTTTATTCTTTTGTGGTGTGAAGGTGGTACTTTGATGCAGCATTTTGGCATTGTTGTCRATGCCAACAGCAACCCTGAGCAGAGSTGCAGCTCCCTGGCCTGGTCCACAGGTTGCCAGGGATAGAACCTGGCAGAAGGAAGGAATCATGCCTTGGAAAAGGCTGGTGCCTGGGTACCCTGAGTGCTTTGCCATCAGGTAAATCTTACACAATACTTGAGGGGAAAGCAGTAAGATGTAGCAACAGGTCTCCACGTTTCCCCCTCAGAGCCCTCACAAAACAAAACATAAACCATTATCTCTGTGTTTTTACAAGCAGTGATGCTTTTTTTCCTGATAATTCAGCATAAAAGTAGCKACCCAGTGAAGTAGTGAATTGCAGCATGCCTTCCTATTGAGTGCATCAAAATCAAAGGTTCCTGCAAAAGCCTGCACTCAGTCTGTCACACCCTCTTTTGTGTCCATGTGCTCTTTCCTTGCAGCGCTAACCACCACCACAAAATGCACGCTCTCTTGGATTACAGGTAGTGTTCATAAACCCAAGCCTATTTCACAATCAGACTCAAACCAATTTCTGAAATGTTACACCAGGTTTCCAGGAAAATCTAATCAATCAAATCTGGTTTTCAACCATGTCACACTCTCATAAATGCATTATAAAGCTCATCACTGCATTTCCACAGACATTATTAAGCAAAAGAGAAAAAAATACTTGAATAATACCTAAATGTTCTGAGAGAAGCTACATCTACAGAAAAAAAAATTATCTCCATGGATTATTCACTCAGTGCTGGTAAATAGTTGGAGACATGACAATAAGCCCTCTAAGCACTCTGTGGAATTTATTTGTTGCATTTGCTTCTAAAATACCCCTTGAAATTCTCCACGTCTCTTCTGACAGTCTCGGAGGGCAGGCAATCTGTGGGGGGCTATCATTACCTGGAAGAGGAGGCYGGGGGGGAATAAAAAAGGAAAACAAGCTTTTAAAAAGCACAGCTAAATACATGTAAAGAAGCTTTCTGTCTGCATGCTGGAGCTCTGATTCATTGAAATACACCAGCAACAGCATGGCAGCTTATGCATACAAACCAAATACCAGAGGCTGCAACAATGGCTGCAATTCCACATGCATTTGGAAACATTCAGTTAAAAAAAAGTTTTTCTATGTACTGATTAGATATCCTTTGTGGCATTTGCAAATGGGGAGCAGGCGTTTTTCATTTGGGTCAGCAGCCCTGTTTGTGAGGCTCAACAGGGCCATAGGGCATTTCCTGCACCCCAGGGCTGCTGGACTGAGACTGTCCCTTATCACTGGCGGGGCACAGCTCTGTAGGCACAGCAGGGATGCTCAGAAGCCCAGCTAGTGAAGGGAGGGGTTGAAATCTGTGTTTGTGATGCAGCCACAAGCCCCAGCCCTTTAGTGACAGTGRGAGGAGGTCCAGCAAGTCCCCTGCCGATGCAGCACAGCTCCATCTKCCTCTGCCTGCCAGGGTGCTCATTCCCTTTGCAGTTCCTCGAGTGGGATGAAGTACCTGGATTGACAGACACCTCCCTCCAGTGCCTCACTCATGTGCCTTGGTGTTCCCTCTGCTCTGATCCACCYGAGCTTCAGCTTTCTCCCATCTAGACCCTCTTTCGTAATATGCTAATGCTTCCTTCTGACCTACCAGTTTCCAGGTCAGGCATTTCTTCCTCAGGGGAGCTGGCAAGCCTTGTGACTGCCAGCCTGTGTCTGTCCCATGTGAGGCTGCCTCACACGGGTTGGTCATGAGGATTCCCAGCTGCCAGCAGTGAGACCACTCTCATGGATCTCTCCTGCGCATCTGGCACCTGTGGTCAAAYTCCCCTCGGGTCCACGCATCCCAACAGGGTGCTCCGGGTGGCTGAGGAGGAAATAGCAAGCCCTTGACACGGAGAGAGGGTGGGAAGAGTCTCTTTCAGACCCAGCTGCCACCTATGTTGATTCCCAAGCCCAGATTATTGGACCCAGCATCTTGTGTAATGATTAAGCCCCTGAAGGGGAAAAGGAGCAAAAGAGAGAAGTTAATGGAAATAAAATGCTTGAGAAAGAAATAATATCATGGGCTGAGGCGTGGGGCAGAAATGAGTATGTGGTAAAAATTGTGACTGGAGACAGTGGGAAAAGCAGATTTTTTTGGAAATCAGACTACAGTGGCAAGAACAGGAGGSACCCAGTGCTCAGCTTCTCACCATTGTGAAAGCAGCATTCTTTCATTCAGGTTCTTATATGTGCAAGGAGCCAAGGTTTGGTATTTAGGCTGGGAAAGGTGGACTCCAGGCCAGCCAAGGAAAAGCTCTGAGCCTTCTCCAGGCTGCATCCCCTATGGCGTCTGAGGCTGACATGAGGCAATCTTGAGTAAATGGTGTGAATACCATTGCCTTTTCTATGGCTAGAAAAAGCAGTGTACGACCATTTGCTTCTCCACCTCATCCCTTACACAGCAGCWTAATTTTGATCGGAGACAAAGAGAATTCAACTCACTTTGCAGCCCTGTTCCTCATCATCCATCTCCCTGTCCTTCCCTCTGTGCATTCCCTGAYGTTGATCCTTCTTCCTGCACCAAAGGGCTGTCAGTTTTACTCCATCCTATTATCTAAGGCATTATTTTCTTCACTCTTTCTCTACTGGACACCACCCTCTGCCCCTGACCAGCACTGTACCCCTCCAAACCTGTTTCCCTCTCTGGTCTCAGATCCCCTGTCCCTGCCATGGCTCTGGCAGTGCCTGACCATGCATCCATGTGGAAAGAATAACTTTTGACAGTGGTTTTTTTAGTCATGCTATCTCTTCACACTGTGGTACCAGCTCAATCCTGACTCTTTGAGACAACAAGCCAGGTGGGATGGGGTGAAGAGCTCACTGCCAATGACTATAAAGGCAGCTTAACCCATGCATGAATGGCAAAAGATGCTTTAATGGCACTCATGTCCAACATAAAAAGCTTAGTTCATTAAAAATTCAAGTTGAAGCAGTTGAGCTGTGATGCTCTGGGAATACTGGCTTTCCATGTGGAAATAAAACCCTGGGCATGCACATCTCCCTTTGCCTTGCTCTGGCCCACAAGGAAACCTGCCCCAGMAGTCAGTAGTGTGCAAGCTCTTCCACCACCCCTGTCTAGCTATAGGGTCAGGCTTTTCATTTTTCTTCCACACATCTTCCCAACCCTCTGCTGCTCTACTTGGTCTGTATACCTCCACTCTGGGGATTTTTTTCTTCCCAGAGACAGGGAAGTCTCTGACATTGAAAAGTGATGAAACTACTTTCATTTTCATTGCACTGACTTGTACATTTGYTCAGTGTGACCAGGGAAGCCAGTTTGCTGCTCTTATAAATTCCCAGGATTGTTGCTAGAGGCACAATGTACTCCCTGAGAGAGGTATGTTACCTGTTTCTGAGAGTGAGATATAAAAATAAATCTCACGATTTATCAAGAAATAGGAGGGAAGGATGCATTTCACATATAAACAGTCAAACTGCCCTTGTGCCAGAAGGCAAAACTAGTAGAAAACTGGAAGGCAACGCTCATGGGGATTTTTTTATGTGTTGTGGCACACATTATTATACTGTGCCTGGTAYAGTGCTGCACAAATCATCCAGGTGTTCATCTCTAGAAAGATGATGTGCTGTGAGKTTGGGCTTTTGGTGTGCTACATGCATTTCATGTAGTGTGCTTGAAAAAGTGAAATGAAGTCAAGGACTGGATAGTAAGAGATGTTATTCACATGTACACGAGACTGGGTAATGCAGGTCCTTACTGAGTGTTTTAGATCATTGAACAGCACAATTGCTGTTGCCATAGGCTGAGAAGAGCAAGAAGGRAAGAGTGAGAAAGTTCCTGCACTTGTCTCAGCAGCAGCCCGACACACAACTGTAACATAGGGCTTGGCAGTGTGGGGAGCAGGGCAGTGATGGGGAGGTCCTAGAGATTTCATGGGAAGAAAGGGAAGGCTTTTCATGAGAGATAGAGGGCAGAGATTTATCTCAGCTATTTTTAAGTATTTRACTTCTGTGCTCCTAGCTCTATCTATATTCAGTGGGGAGAGAGATGAATTTTCAGAAGATGGTTCAGACCAACTTGGTGCAGAGATGCCTCTTTCTTTTCTAGAGTCTGCAGAGAGTCCATAAATCACTAAGGTTCTCAACATTAAASTTAAATGGGGAGGGGGAGGGTTTGATGCCAGGCTAAGATATCTTTTAATGTATTTATACATATATCCTTTGTGTATGCATTTTCCCATAGTTCTGCACTGTGGAAGGGTTCATTACAGCCCTGATGGATGAGTATCCTCGAATCCTAAGAGCCAGGAAGAAGATCTTCATCGCAGTAGTCTGTTTCATCTCTTATCTCATTGGATTCTCCAACATCACCCAGGTATAGATGACTGTGCTTGTACCTCCATTCATGACACCCTTCTGGTCCCTTTGGCACCAAAGCTTTGGGAGAGGTGACAGTATTTCTCCTGTTCTGGATAAAGTGGTTTGCTCATCACTGCTACATCTCAAGTGATTTAGGATGCCTCCATAATTTTTACCATCATCCTATTGTCAGACTTGGTGYTCTGCTGTTTGCAATGAGGGTTCAAGCCAACAGAGTCCAAGCTGAAGGAATGCTTGCTGCAAAGAGTTGGAAACTTGAACCTCTGGAGTTGAAGCCAAGGCTCACATGAGCAGAGTTGAGGGCGGAGTGGTCTGGAGACCATTTGTRGAGCACTGTAGGTTCACAAGGAGGCAAGGCAAAACTCCTAGGAGGGACAGAGCAGATGAAATTAAGCGACTCCTAAAGCAGAGAAGTAGAAGAGATTGTAGTGAATTTCTTTATTCCTCACCCTTGGCTATGCCTGAACAGGCTGGCTAATTGTCTGTAAGAGCGCATCAGTTTTGCTGCTGGGAACCAGACTCCAGTGGAAACATTGCAAGTGGCTCTACTGCCCAAGGAAATGAACATTAAGCCATCAGACAYGGACAGTAGCAATCCAAGCTGCAGGCTGATATCCTTGGTCATAATCTATAACTGAACTCCTTAACCCCAGTTTTTTCTTTTCAGGGCGGCATTTATGTCTTCAAGCTGTTTGATTACTACTCAGCCAGTGGCATGTGTCTTCTCTTTCTTGTCTTCTTTGARACCATCTCAATTTCTTGGTGTTATGGTAAGCAAAAAAACCACCTTGTTCTTTTGTTTTCTCAGTGGATATGGTGAATTACTTAAAAAGCCAGAGCTAGTGAAGGTGATAACGATTTTGCCAATGAAAATAGCTTAGACTGATAACTTCAGAAAATCAGGAATGGAAGGCTGTCATCTCACTTCTCCAGGCCATCCTAAAGACCTCTGCATGAATTGGCAGATGCCCAGGGTCATTTTCTCTGGGCTCTCTAGAGGACACCAGGGACATGGAAGCTGTTAGCATGAATTTGTGTCCTAGTACCCCATCCCCTCCAGATAATGTTTCTGATGCCACAGCATTGTCACCTTCTYGCTGTGCCTGGCCTGTGCTCTGTCTTGAGAAGAGGTGAAGACAATGGCACAGATATGGGGAGYTTTTGTTCAAAGCTCATTTCTGCTTGCAGGTGTGAACAGATTTTACAGAAACATTGAAGAGATGATTGGCTACAAACCTTGCATCTGGTGGAAGATCTGCTGGGCCTTCTTCACACCTCTTGTCTGCCTGGTAAGACCTGGAGAATCCTATCTGCAGAAGTGGATCTAGAAAGGTCTTTAGATGGGCTGTAGTTCTCAACCCTGCACTGGTCTGGTGCGATTTGGTCCCAGGCAGCCTTGGGATGGGTAAAGTGATACAGGAGCTGCTTTCTCTCTGCCTGCTGGAAATCATCCATGGAAAAGTTCTAGATGATTGCTTTTAATCAAAATGAGGCCATCAGTTCTTCATTCGTTTTTTTTGAGATGTCAGAAGATAAGCAAAATAATTTAAAGTTTTAAAAAGCTATTATTAGTTCTGGCTTTCAGCTACTTCAGCTTCAGCCTCAGCCTGGCTTATGAGAACAGAAGCCATCACCRAATGTAGGATAACTGGCTGCAGAACAATTTGGCCTCTGCTGGTTCCTACCCTTCCAGCAGAAGTAGTGCAGGGAGTGCTGTGATAAGCCCAATGATAGGAAGGTGAAGACTCCTGGTATCAACTCTGAGGATGCTGTTAAGTTGCATTGGAGCTGCTGTGGAGGCACTGCTTGTCTCAATTGTGTAGTGAAGAGGGAAATCAGGGATACTCCAGTTTCAGCTTTTCATATAGGATCAGAAGAAATGCTATGAAATTACCAGTTGGTGAACTGAAAGAATCTAGGCTAATGTAAAGAGCTGTTGCACTCCTATAAGGCTGTTGTGAGCTAAGGGGATAATGAAGGAAAGAATGGTTGGACCCTGATTTTGCACACTTGCCCCTGCAATGACCAGTGCTCTTTTCCAGGGTGTGTTCTTCTTCAGTGTGGTGGAAATGACTCCTCTGAAGCTGGGAAAGTATGTCTATCCTGCGTGGGGACAAGGCATAGGTTGGCTCATGGCCCTGTCCTCCATGGTTCTGATTCCAGGGTACATGCTCTACTGTTTCTTCACCTCAACAGGGACTCTCCGGCAGGTAGGAACAGCTTCACCACCCTGCTCTCTGCTCAGGGTAAGCTCCTCCCTGAACTAAGCCTGARCCAAACAGACCTGGCTCTGACAGAACTGTTTGAGTGCACCAGGTTGGTGCTGCAGGACCTCTGTGGACCCTCTYCCCCAGTAGGGCTCAAATCAGTCCCAGTGCACTCAACAGCCTCCAGTGACATGGGCTGGCTGGAGAGGACCTGCCAGCACAGCTGAGCAGGGCGTGTCTGAGCCCTGTGAGCTCTGCTGGGCTGTGGTTGAACATGCAGGAGACCTTCAGGTGGTCTGTCCTTATGTCTGTTGTTCCTCATTGACATTTGTGTGGTCATCACTACAAAAATGGAGCCCTCCTCCSCTGAATATCCCTTTGGTGTGGGGTACTAGACCATGGAAGAGTTTGGGAAGATATTCTTGAGGTTTCTTGACCCAGAGAATCCCAGTTCCTGGCAATCCCTGGTTATGAGCGTATTTACTTGGAGCTCCTCAGCCAGATCAGCATCCTCCAAGCATGAATCCAGAAATATCTCAGGCTAGGCCCTGCTAACAGCAGAGACAAGCACAGGGGTAGTTTGTCATGTGCTTTTCAGAAAGCACTCTGTGACTGAGGGGTCAGGARGCAAGAAAGATGCACAATACCCACCACACCAGTCTTTTTTAAAGCATTTTCTTTAGTAGTTTGGGCAGGATTTTATATAGCAATGAATCATCAATCTCTATGTCATACCCAATGCTTACTGTTAAGATTTTATTTGTAGTGTTGGCATTCAGTCTTGAGAGCACTGTGCCCCTAGTCCCTAGCTCAGTGCTGTCTGCTGCAAGCTACAGATGTAAGAACTCACCCCAGGGGTGCTGATTTATGGCTGTCCCAGCCCAGCAGGACCAGCAACCAGACACCACCTAAATCACAGGGGTTTACTTAGGGATGCTGTGTTTTGAATAATGTTTAACTCAGAAAAGTTTGGGCTGAAATTACTGGGCTGAGGTCAGCTTCAGGTTTTCTACATTTAAGGTAAAGTTGCAGGTGAATTTGAGTTTTCTTCYTCCCAGCCTTCCATTTGGATGGGCTCTGATGTGGGAAGTGGGTGGGTTTGGGTTCTGCTTTCAATTTCTGGTTTCTCATCTGAAGGTGGGTTTAGGTAGGAGTGAGTGACTTCCTGGCAGGATTCAAGCCAAGTTGTTAGGTCAAACCACTTGTTAATTTTGAGTTTAAGGCCAGTGCAATTCCAGTAGTAGGCCCTTTCTCAAACAATTAGAGGGGTCCTTATTCACTCATAATATGAGTTGGAAAAAGGGGGAAGGAAAGCCTGAAATTACATATATGGGTTCAACCCTTTGCCTAGACTCGCTCTTGTTTCACTGGAGATGGAGAGAGCACATCTCAGCAGGTAGGGGAGCACAAACTGGTCCGTGACCTCCCAGGAGTAGCTCAACTCCTCCTGACCAAGGGCTTGTGCTAATTATATCTGCAGCACTTCCAAAGTGYTGTGTGTTCCTGTGCTGCCCCAGGCATATGGAGGGAAGCTCATGAGTGTATTTTCACCCATCCCCTCAGGATCTTGTGCAAACCATCAGTTCCTGTAAGCAGCATGAGTGGCTGATGTGCACCCTCCCTGTCTGACTCTTCCTCCAACATTACCCACAAACACCACGAGACCCATACCCCCTCTCAATCATTCATAGACCTAGGAGTGAGCAGCAGATGGCAGCAGGAAGAAAGTAGGCTAATCTATGTGTGCATGTRTTGGTATCAGAGAGACAGAGAGAATTTTTTGGCCTCTTATGTGCACAGATCCTGGATTAATTTGTAATAGAGCTGGAGCTGGAGGGAAATTAGATGCCAATCCTGAATAAAGTGGTTTTGACAGACAGGAAAGATTACAAGTCATTTTGATCCTACTGAGCATGAATGTGAGAGGGGGRAAAAATTACCATGAATGGCAGAAGCAGTTCAGTGAACAATTCAGGGACTTCACCCAGCAACAGCCAGTTCAGCRGTATCAGAGGGTAAAAGCTTGTTTCCCTTTACTGGAAAGAGGTTCTACCTGTCTACAGGGATGTCTGTTCAGGTCAGGCTTAATCCTCCTCTGCATTCTCTTCTGCAGTGCACAGCATCAGTCCCTCCCTGACTGGCAAAAGTGATTCATTCTTCTTCATCACTCCTGATGTTCAGTCCACATGCTTCCAGTAATGATTTGCCCCTCCATATTTTCCTGGGTTCTTGCTTCACTTGACTCTGCAATTTTCATTTGATCAGCTCAGGGTGACAGGAATTGCTGCTGCGCAAAGGTTGGCGCAGGTGAATGTTCTGATGTGCATCAAAGGCACAGATTGTAACCTTGTTAACTTGCTGTAGTTACTTAGTAATGCTTTGCAATCAAACCTAATCAGAAACAGTCTGCTCTGAAGCAGGTGGCATTACAGCACTCTTCTGTACCTCCTTGGAGCTGGTCTTGCCTGGTAACAGTTTGCCTGTTACCAGGATGCTCTGCAYATTTCAGATTAAAGGAGGAGCTGCTATACTCTGTGCAGCATCAAAATAAAGGTGATATRCAGAGTATTTTGGGATACTGCCAGATGCTGCTGGAGGAATCATTCCCTGCACCATCCCTTTTCCCTGTAACCAGAGTCACCTCTGAACCCTGAGGCAAGTGTCCCAGCCCTCAGCTGCTGCCATCCATCCCTGGCTGTCCCACAGCCACTGTCCCCAGCCCTGGCTCACATTATCTCCTTTCATTCCCGGGCAGCGTTTGCAGCAGATGACACAGCCCAGGCCAGAGGTGCACGCTCAGAACAACGGCCTCCAGCCAAAGACATCTTTGAATGGGAGGATCTCAGATGCTGCCGTGTAGGAGGAAAGCCTGAACTCCTCGTCCTGCCCCGTAGCTGCTCACTCCACACTCTTCCTCAAACTCCTCTGGCACAGCTTGCTGACCCTGGCTCTGTGGTTTCTTTTGCTTGTCCAAGAGAGGACCTGGTGGAGTATCCTGTTCATGGCTCTTCCTCGTCCCATGGCTGACCAAGGCCCTGAACAAGCTGCCACCAGGGCATTGTGTGGTGACCATCTTCATCCTGCAACATCCTGGTCCAGACTCTCAGAGAGGAGCAGCTGGYACCCACGTCTTCCTCCTAGAGAACTTTGATTGCTGTCCACTTCTCTGTTTTTCTTGCTTTTCCATGAGGAACTCCGCAGAGTACCCCCAGCACACAGCTGTGTTTCACCCCAGAGAGATCGGATGGCTGTCAATTGATGGAGCATAAAAACACTAGCAAATACATAACGGGAGGGGATGTGCAGAACAAAGGATTCTAGTGCARAGCAAGGGATTCTAGTGAGGAGTCTTACATGCTAGTAACTGTAGGACATCACCCCAAACCTGAAGAAGGGCTTAAGAAGAGTTTGTGCTGCTCACAGGTGCCATGTTTTGGCCCTGCAGTCTCCAGATGTGTCCGCTGCATCCATTGGGGCTGGTGTGAGCCAGAGCCTGGCAGAGCAGGCAGCATTTCTCTTCTGGAGCATCCTGGCCTCTACAGCTGTGCAGTAGCCACTCTCTGGCCCTAAAAAGCAGCTAAAAGAGTAAAGGAGGGCTCTTTGCTAYAGGCTGCTCAGATCCCCTGCACTGACCACAGCCAGCTTTGTGCAGAGGCGAGGCTGTGATAAAGAGATTTTCCAGCACTGCAAATCTTCTGCCAAGCTGAAACAGGGTAGTTCCTGCCAAGTACCCTCCCTGGCTGGGAAACAATAAGGTGGAGCATAATGCCCATGGATGGTTCAGTTTATACCTTTTTCAGGAAGTGGCCACACCTAAATCCCAGCTGGTGGAATACAAGAACTCCTGAGACAGTTAGCAGGATGTAGCCACCATGCTTAAACCCACCCCTGMAAACCAGTGCTGACTTCCCTTGGGAAGTGTCTGTTCAGCCAGCTGCTGTCACTGGCACATCCCAACTCCCAGCACACAAAGCACAGAGGGTCATGAGCTCTTGTAGATGGTGCTGGAGAAATGTAACACCTCGGAGAAGGCTGGGGAGTGTTTCAGAGCAGTCCTAAAGCAGCAGCATATTTCTCAGTTATAAAGCTTTGTGGAAGGAGGTGGCTCATCACAGCACCATGTGTAGGTGTTACAGTGGCACTCCCAGTTGTGCCAGCCTCTCAGTGACCCCACGCAGAGATGCCCTTGTACACAGAGTGTTTGATGAGCACACATGCTGTGACTTAGATTAGTCTCTCCCCTTCCTGGCACAGCATCGCCAAGTCTGCTCACACTCCCAGCTTCAGATCAGAACCAACAAACTCAAAAATGAGCATCCAAAAAAAGTACATCCCACCCATCTTTCCTGCCAAAGAGTCTGGTCTCAGAAGTGACACACTGCAGTCCCCCAGGGGTGCTACTGCAGGTGCCAGCTGAGTGCTGAGCCTTTGCACAATTCTCTTACATTCCGGTAGTACCTTCAAAATGCTTCAAGCTGGCCCTGTGCTGCCTGTTCGTGGGACTCACCAGAATACAGGACCAACCTGCTCTTCTGCCAATCTTCCAGCCTGTGGATCAGCAGCAGAAGGAAGAAAGAAGTTTTCTGGTGAAAGCTAAAGTCAGACACCTTTGGAATGGGTCCCCTGCCAACTCATTGGTTCATCTTTATTGATGTTTTTTCAGATGTGTAACCAATTTGTATTTGTACACATGATTCTCAGCAGTTATGGCTGCTGGGAATTAAGTGCATGTTTTGTGGTCTCCAACACCCCGAGATCRTGCCCTATCCCACATATAATTGTTACAATGTTTGTGTCAAAAAATAATGCGGCTGTTAAATAGATATGAGGACACGCTGAATTTACAGGCTTGGTCTTGTAAAGCCAAAAGCCAAACACTGAAAGCTGCAGTCATAGCTCATCACCATTAATCTCAGGCAGTTACAGACATGTCATCTTTCCTTTTCCCTTAATTGTCTGTGCCAGTGTAGCTGAAAACTTCTATTCCAATTTTACCTATTTTTATGAACCGGGGCAATAAAGGAAACCACTCTTCACAAACATGTTGTGTCCTTAGAGAAGGACTTCTCTGCTCAAAAAAGATGTTAAAGTTCTAAACTTTGCAGTAATGATCCTTACGAGAAACTCGCTTTTCCTGTGCATCCAGGTCCCATAACTCCATCCCCTCAAATGCAGACTGAACATACCACAGGTGAGTGATGGGCAAAGGACTCAATTTTTGAGTGAGGCCTTAAAACCATTGAAGACTTTTTTTCATCCAACTTCATTGGGGCAGCTCAGGTCTGAGGAAAAACAAATCAGTGTCAGTGGTAATTTTTTAACTCTCGGCCAAAGATCTTGGTTGCTGGCAAAGCTGTTCAAAGGTTGTTCTTCTAGGGGAGAGGAGAAGGAAGGGCCCAGAAAACAAAGTTCTGTCCCTGGTTGCTGAGGAAATCTCTAAGAGCACAATTGCTGTTTGCTGGGATTTAAGCCCCAGCATCTCTCTGACTTGTAGCCTTGCCTGTGGCACATCATTCCAGGTGTAGCAGCAACAGCTGCTTGTGATAGCAATATTTGATGATTTAACCATTTGCTCAGTTTTCTCCTTGTGAACTTCCCCTGCTCCTTTTTATTCTTATGCCTCACTCCTTCCCCATTGTCATCCATCCAGTGGAAATTATCTATCTCAGCTTGTTTCTTCCTGCTTTCTTAGTTCCACTGCTGACAAACCACAACTCTCCCTTCTTTCTATTCTTTCCTCATTTCTATCACTTTTTGTTATCATCAGCCTCTCTTCCCTGTTTCTCTCMTGTACTCTCCTTCCAGCTTAGAACTTCCTCCTGCCTGCCTGTGACTCAGCCACTTGCTGTGTGCATGCTCAACCCTTCTGCCTACTGAAAGCTGGAGATCAGGATCCCACAGAGACCCCCAGCTTTTTGCAGAATCCAGTCCATAAGAACCAGTTTCCATCCCAATATGAAAATTGTAATGCGGTTCCAGCTATCTTGTCTTTCTGTTTGCACCAGGAAGTGCTGTGCCAAGCAATACTATCTCCTGGTATTACCAGAAAGACATTTCAGCTCACATTCCACCAGTGTCTGCAGAGCTGTGCCTCTTCTGAGAGATTGTGAGGCTTTTCCTGTTTTTGCACGATTTTATTTCCACCATTAGTGTTTGTAATCATAACCTTGCAGATAGGAACTTGTCCTTAGTCAAACTCTGTCTGACTGATCCCATTCTCCAGTGTTTCAAACTCAYCCCATCCTTAGCATTAGAAGAGCCTTCCCACCTCCATCACACACAGGTTTCCCATYCCCTGAGAAGTCAGGGATGATGATGGACCCCCTTGAGCTCATCCCACCCCTCTAAAATGCCACTGTGGATGGGTCTGGCAAAGCAGCCATGTCTGTGGCTGGACTGTACGCACCACTTTTGTCCTATTCCACGGTGTGTCACATCTGCTGACCATCTCTGTGCTCCTCATTCCTTCTGACTCACCCAGAAGAATGGATACATAACCAGGGTGTGGGATGCTCTCCTCTCCCCACTGCTGTGGTTCAGAAGGGGATTGTGCTCCTTCCTGCTCACTTCCAGCATTCCTGCCTTTTTTCCGCCCCCTCACCTCCCCAGCACCAGCCAGCATCTCCTTCCCACCATAGGCAGCCGCTTGAAATAATCCTTTATGAAATCTCTTAATTCTAAGGAGCTATTTAGGGACCAGTGTTCAAATCCCTCTGAAATCCTCTTTTTCCTGAGGGCTGCAAAATATAAAACAAATGCCACGACCCCCACCCTCTGCTGCAGCGGGGACTGATGTGGGCCAYGGGAAAGGCAGGATTGTTCCCTTGCTGCTCAAGAACTGCTACCCYTGGAGATCTGGGTGTGATCCTCTCCCCTGGGACAGGGGAGCTCTTTCTGCTGCCATTCTCACAGATGTGCTCCAGCAGCTGGCAGCTGGTTGGAAAACAAGTGTGCCATGTCCATGACAGGATACAATACTGTGTGGCACTGCAAGGCTTTGGCTTGCCATCCTCCATGCAGCTTGTAATCTCTCCACAGCTCTATTAAATGGTGTGTTGGGAGCAGTTGTGCTGTGCATCAGGAGTGCTCTTAAAGCTGGTGTCATTCTGGATGAGCAATTTGTCCTTATCCGCTGCCCATTCCAGGGGGATTCTCTCAGGACTGAAGGATCCTGGTTGCATTTGGTGGTGATGGCCATCACTAAGGGGACACATCCACTGTAGTTTGGCTTGTACTGAGGGCTACCAGCTTGCACCAAGCACTGCGTGCCCTCCTCAGGAGCTGAGAGCGTGGTGCTCAGCACTGGGTGTTGATACCAGCACTGGAGGCCACGTGGTGTGCCTGTACAACACAGCAGGGGATGGGGTCCACCCCAGCATCCCCACCGCAGCCCTGGCTGCCACGGGCAATGTGGGGCTCCTGGCAAGTGTGTGTCCATCATCCCTGTGATGCTGTCAGCTGGAAAGTGTCCATGTCTGGAGATGCTCAGGAGAGGTTAGTGCTCCCCGCGCCGATACCTGACAGCCATGACGCTGATGGAGATGCTTCCTGACAGCCTGGCATGATGCCACTGTACTGCCAAGRAAATGGCACCAGCACTCACCGGGGCCCCAGGGACCAGCCACAGGCCCTCGTGGGGTGGCACGTGCCCCCACCACAGCCCCTGGGGACAAGCAGCCCTCACCCTCACAGCTGCAGCCCTCTGCAGAGTGGTCATGGAGGGATTTCTTCTGCGGTGTCAAGGTACTTCTGCTTCCAGATGAAAAAAAMCAACTCATCAAGAAGGGACTTGTCKGGATCACTGGTGTGATGATATGGGGAGCAGGCTGGCCTCAGAGGGTCCCACAGCCAGAACACAGGGACAGGTAAACTGCTGGGGGGGCACTGATGCCTGAATGCTGCATCTCCCACAAGCTCAGGGGYCACTGGCAGAACAGGGTGTGGTAGCACAGCTGGATTTTTTTCTCCCTTTGAAGGCTGTGTGTCTTGGAGAAGGCTCTTGGCCAGTGTGTATTGCATCGAGCTGTCYGGGAAAATACAAATATCCCTGAACTGACCCCATGAAGAAAAGCACCTGCTAGTTTTGTGCTGACGCTGCTGACCCAGATCCAGAAAAATCTTGCTCCATATCTGTCCAGATAAAAGGTAACTCATAAAGTGTAAGCTCATCCCTTTCTATCAACCCAAAGAGCATTGCCTGCTCAGTGGCTCCAGGGCCCCTGACACAGACTTGGGGGTGGGTACATCAGCCCCTGGACTGGCCCTGGGGTGACAAGGGCAGGACATGGTGGCCCCTGTACCCCATGTCTCAGCACACAGGCAGTGCTGGCTCCCTGCCTGCTCTCTTCCCATCCCCGGGGAGCCCATGTGTGCYTTGGACACAGTTTGCTCCTGTCTGAATGGCTGAACCCATTCTGCCATTCTCTTGTCTGTGCATCCTCCTCTGGCACACGCCAGAGCTGACTGACACACCTTGAAAAATAGCTCCGAGGTGTGAAGGAGGTCAAGAACTGTAGAGGGATGACTGCACTTGTTTGGAGAGGGACAACATCCCACTCTGCCTCTCTCTGCCCCCATAATGGTGCCACCATGTCCTGGACAAGCAGCTGCTCTGGGTCACTGCCTGCCCAGCCCGAGGCACAAATGCTTTGATGTGTTTTTGAAGTGCATTTGGTCCTGCAGSGGGGAGAGAAAGAGCTGACATCTCTGTCCCCTCTGCACTTACTGCAAATGAAGGGATTAGGAGTTATAATCCAAGATTCTTATTTTAAAGCGGCTTTTCAGCTCTGTGAGGSGAACTTCAGCGTGATGCTCCTGGGGGAGGTGGTGACGGCAGCTGTCACAGCCCCAGTCACCACGGGTGCTTGGGCATTGGAGTGGAGGCTCAGTGGCACTGGAGGATGCGGGTGTGGCTGTAGGAGCGACATTTCTGCAGGGAGTGGGAGAGTGTGTGCAGCAAGGCCAGGGTACAGGGGGTATGTCACCACCAGGCACTTGCCTTGGCACCCGGGAGTGCATCCAAGCACTGGGCAAGTGCCACTCACCAGCTGCACTGACGGATTTACAGGGTTTTCCAGATGTTTTGAGCTGTGAAGAGAAAGAGTGGGCTCTTTCTTTAGGGGTGGAGAGCAGGTCTAAATTAGCCAGCACCACTTTAAAGGAAATTATCCGGGTGGGCAGCACGGTGAGAGACATGTGACAGCCCGGACACCCTAACAGCATCTCAGCCATTGCCTGCTGGGKGTCACATGCACCCAGCCCGTGGGGGCTGCCCCATCCCTGGCAGYACTGTGGACCCCAGGATGACCTTCCAGCTGTGGGGAGTCCTCTGCCAGASAGAGCCTTGGGATCTGAGTGAGATCGGCTGCTGCCAATCCCCTGTGGCAGCATCTGTTCTTGGGATGCTGAGTACCAAATCACCAGCMCAAARCATCCTGCAGCTCTTGGGAAGCTTTCTGTCCCACACTGCCAGCAGTGTCTGCTCTGGAGAGCATTTCTTAACTTCTTCTCCTTCTTCCCACTGCATCCATGGCAGACCTGTGCAAAATGTCAGCAAAYTGCTGTTTTTTTTTCACTGGCATCTCTGCGTCCTTTCCCTCTGCTAATTATTATGGCAGTGCCTCTTCTAGGGCAGGTCGACAGATGGCTGGGGTTTTATCTTTGAACAAGCTATTTAAATAGGGCTCTGGCTTTTCCCTTGCACATTTCTTTCCTGGCTACATGTCCTGAGCTGCTGGATGGGTTGTCCTTTTCACTAGGGATGCCAGAAGTTGTGAGCTGAGACTAAAGGCTGAGGTCAGATCCTAGGAGATAAGTTATTTTCTTTCCTTTTAGAAGGAGAAGATAATTTTGCCCTGGTTCATGTGACCTCACAGAGTGCTGTGTTTTGGATTTAATATGAGAATAATAATGATAAAATGTGGATGTTTTAGTTGTTGCTAAATAGTGCTTACCCTAAATTAAGGGTCCCATTCTCTGCCAGTGAGGAGAGGCACAAGAAGGTGGGAGGAAGCATGYCCAGGACAGCTGATCTGAACTGGCCAAAGGGATATTCTATACCGTAACACTTCATATTCCATACATAAACTGTGAGGAGCCGTCTGGGAGCTGATCACTGCTGGGGGATGGGCTGGGTTTGGGTCAGGGGGC